TTCCAAATTAGACAAACTAGTCTATACTTGTTTGCTGTGCGCATAACATAGTAATTCTAGGCTAATAACCAGAATAAGAACACATAAACGTTTTCAAAACAGAATATCACGGTTAGTAGAGGCCGGTCTTCGGACCGGGCGAGAGGGGGTGCTCATAGCTGACCTTCCCCGATCATACCCAAGTTCCCGAGCCGAGGCAACTTTGGTGATGACGGACACGTGGCCTTTGGCACCGAGTCAGGGTTTCCTAAATTCCCCCCTTAATAAAATATTTAGGTGGCGACTCTGTATCTGGCAAAGCAGTCCATGTTTGGCACTTCTTTCAAAATCTGTTTTCTCAAAACGATTTGCCGGATTTGGACTCTTTGGTTCAAGATTAAGAACCGTAACAAAATCGAGTCCGAACTGTAGTAGCGAAGGCCCCTCGCGGGACGCGTCTACATATGGTCCCATGCCTTGCACTGAATCCATGTTTCCTTTTAGGCTGGTTGTCAACCTTGTAATAATTGGATGGCCTAGTTTCATATAGAGGCCTCTTACCCTTTGATCGCACCCTAGTGTCTGGTGGACCAACCAAAGATGAATGTTGTCTAGGGTCAATTTGATATGGCTTTCCGTTGTAGGTGCTAGCTGGCTTTCAATCCTTCTACATATCTTCATAATACTGTTTCCCATCAACTGGGAGCCCTTTCAGCCATTTGTAACTCATCTTGCATCTAGGACACATCCTCTGCACTATAGCTGCTTCGAATGAGTCATCATCCAGTATCTCTCCACTAGAGTGATCCCTTTGGCCTGTAGAGTTCTATCCATTTGCTGGTGAACTTCTAGTGTCCTTCTGGAAAGCAATTTGGCTGGCAACATGCATCTGCACATTAACCTCCTCCAATTCCTTCAAAGAAAGATTCTAAAAATCTGGCATACCAACATTAGCAGCTGCTTCTCTAATTTCTCGAACTGGGTTAGTGTCAATCCCCATAGCCTTTTCTGCCTTGGTTGGAAATTTGAGTCTTTCCTTCCAAATTTGTTCTTGAATCCTGTCTCGAAAAACTATATAATTTTTAGTTGAATAGGAACAAGAATTATGTCATTTACAGTACATCTTTCCTTTAAGTTCTTCAGAAGTTAGGATCTTAACTCCCTTAGGTAACTTTAGGAAATGTGCTATAAGCAAATGATCAAATATGCCATCTGCTTTTGTTATGTCAAAAGAGTACTTCATATGTAGGTCTTTCTTTTTAAACTGCTGATCAATTGTAGTGTCCTTCTGAATCAGTGCTTCATAGGTCATAGGGACTTTCTCTATAATCTCTGCTACTTCAACTTCGAAATTAGGGTCCCTATAATAGGTCTTATATGATGCATTACTTTGATCTTGTTCTTCTTCAAGTAAAGTTTCATATCTAGACACTTTATAAGTTAACTCTACTAAGTCTTGAAACTCAGTTGAGTCAAACTTCTTTCGAAACCTAAACTCCAAACCATTTTGAGCCAACCTCACAAGTTCAGGCTCCAGTAGAATGACTATACACTTGTTTTGTGCTCTTTTGAACCTAGCAATGAACTGAGCAGCCTTCTCATCAGGCCTTTTGCTCAATCTTGCCAAGTCTGTCATGAAAGCCTCAAGCTCTATTTGGAAGAATTGGGTATGAAATGCCTCATCATTTGATGCCAAGTCTAGATAGAGTCAGGTGTAAGGTTAATGTACCATACAAAGGCTGCCCCAATTAAAGAATTTGGAAATAGTCTTAATTTCATATAATCATTATTGGTGAATTCACCATATTCGCCTATAAACCTAGCAATGTGTTCTACTGTTGACTGGTTTTCATTTCCAGAAAAGAGGGTAAAATGTGGTATTCTAAAACCCCTTGGGTATTTATGTACCCTATCCACCCATTCTGGGTATGGCTTTCTATACACAGGAGTCTGGACCCCCCAACCATGGGTCCAAACATCTCCCTAACAATATCAGCAATTTGGTCCCTATAAACCATATTCTGTGCTGGTGCTGGTTGGACCACTATTGAAGGGGCAAACATAGGGTTTAAAGAAACTTCATGTGCTTAAGGTCCTCTTGGTCCATAGAGAGGTTCATTTAGGACTGGATATCCTTGAAGTACTGGTTGCTGTTGAAGGTATGGCTGGCCTTTTTGGGCTTGTCCTGTGAAAAGTCCTGTAGGAGGAGGAATAGGTGTTGTTTCTCTCCCAACCGCAGGAAATCCTTCCAACCCCCCGGGTGTAGATTCGAACATAGGGTTAGTGAACCCCCTTGTGCCAAGCATGGTCCCAAACATTGGATTTGAAAACATTCTCATATCATTTTCTTGTGTTGGCCCAAATCCACCAATTTGTATGGCTTCACTAGTAGATAATGGTATAAATAATGGTATATTTTGATTTACCATAGGTCTCGAAGGATTCTCATACCATAACTGAGGTATAAGTGATGGTCTTTCATAATTTTGGTTACTAGTCTGACCATTAGTCTGTCCATTAATTTGCATAGGCTATTTATCTCTAGCTAATCTTTGCCGAAGAACATTTCTATTTTCCTTAACATGCCTTATGACAGTTGGTTGATGAGAGTTCATTCGATCCAAAAAGAATTGTATGCATTAACTGTTGTCCCATAACATTTACCAAACCTCCCGATGGATTCATTGGTTGGGTAGAAGGGGGCAATCGATGGTCCAGCTTCATGAGTCTGCCCAATTTTTTGGACATGTGTTGCATGTCTGAAGTTCTGGTTTGTTCGACCGTAGAATCTGATGAGATATGTGGCTCCATAGGATTATCCTCTAGATTAGGTAATTCTACCTCTCCTTCTATATTTTCTTCCAAGCGTTCATTTCCTCTTTATTGCCTACGTCTATCCATTTTAAAGAAGTCGCACTAGGCATACCAAAAATATATGTTGGTTTTTTGGTTTTCGAAGGTTAATAATATAAATTTAAGTGTGCCAGCAAGAATCAATTAGTCCTTACAGAAGTTTAATTGCTAACCAATTATTAGACGATTGTGTTGTAGTTCTTTCAGTCTCAATGAAGAGGACTTTTACTGGTGGTTTGTTTAGGAGAAATTAGGGAATAATAACAGGTGAAGAACAATTTCAGAATTTAAATTTCATTAAGTAAGTGATAACTTACAATGAACTGACCTAGCCTCGTAGAGGTTCACAACAACAAACTACTTAACACTACTCCTAGGAAATGAAATGCAGTACAGGAATTGAAGTGCTGAAAATGTAAAGAATTGCTAATGTAAAACTAGAAAGAAAAATATGAAGTAAATGACTGGTTTCTGGGTCTAAATTTGGATCTTTCAATTTGGGGTCTTCTCTGCTATTTATACTCTCTAAGGGTAACCGTCGAAGTGGGCTTCCAATCGTCAAAATGTCCTCCCATGATTGCTGATCATGCTCTCTCACAGTCAGTCCCACTACACTATTCTTGCAGTTAGGCTTCCCTCTTGATTTTGAATTCGAATTTATGAGTAACCGTTAGGCCAAGTCATCTTGTGTCTTCTAGCTATGCCAATGCTGCGCGAATCCATTATTACCAATATGACTTGCCGCATGTCTGCTGTTGATTGGAAACTTACATTGACTCCCTAATTTACCCTTTACATGCCATGTGCCAAGCTCTAATTGGCTTATACAAAATATGTAGCCAACAACCACCATAAACAACTCAATTGGGTTCAGATTCTAAACCCGACTCAATTTCCAACAATGACCACCAATGTCATTTTCATCACAATTTGATCCACCAAAATCTCCACTCTTCTAGATTTCTATTATCTCTTCTCTCTCATATGGGTTGTGACTCCCAATCTTGTTTTTTCCTCCGGACACGGAGTGATTTTTAGTTGTTTTCACACTTTCTTGTGCTTAGTTGAAATAGGGGAAAAGACAAAAGGAAAGATAAATAAGCAAATACATGTAAATTACAATAATCTCCTTTTAAGTTTGAAGTAAATTTACTCTTATACATTTCACACGATTATATTGAGCTCACATAATAATAAAACAGTAATATTATGAATCTTAAATAAATTACTAAAAGATTATATCAAATACTTATATATGTGAGATCCACACCGCATGAGAATCATATAAATCTTATACCCATGTGAGTATTTGTCAAAATATTTAATAATTTATTAGTGTCTCTAACATTTTTTATAATAAAATGGATTATTTTAAAATATGCACCCTCAAAAGAGTCTCTATCATATTGTTATGATATTTGTAGTGTTAATGTCATAACTAAATAACTTTCACTCATAACATAATAGTGAAATGATTAATAATCACATAAATTAGTTTAGAAGTAATTATCAAATTAAATTAGTAAGATAACTATTTATTATGTATTCATTTATATTTTTTTCATACTTGAAATTATAATCCTAACTTCTCTCAATATTAAAAATTCTCTAATTTCGTCAAATTGAATATTTGCTGTCTATGTAACCCGATTAATAAAATTTGCAATCAAACATGGAATTATAAGTCCATGGACTAATAATCTCAATTCTATGTCATAATCCTACTAATAAACATTTGTTTAATTTGAATGGAATAATTAAATTGAAATTAAATTTAAAATATAAGATTACTATTATCCAAATTAATATATTAAAATTCAAAATAAAATTTGAATCAACCTATCTACTCAAAACAAATACAAAGTAAAAGTGTAATTTATCACAATTTTTAAGATAAATTATACTAATTTCTCTTAAAATTTATGCTAATTACAGAGACGTCCTCTCAGGATTAACTGATTGGAAAGGGAAAAGTGAATTTAAAAGTAAACCTATGGAGGAGATTAATGTCATTTCAAAAACTTTAAAAGAAATTTCTATAATTATCATAAAGTGCAGAAGAGGTGAAAGTTTCATTTTAAAAAAAAAGCACTTTTAATCTTGGGCCTGGCTTACCTCAACCAGCCTTTTAGCGGCCCTGTTAAGAATGGGTTTTGTGGTCGGTCACTGAAAATTGAGAAACTGCTGAATCAGCTAAAACGGGAAATATATGAAGAAGAAAAAATCCAATGTCGAGGTGCAATTTCACAACTGTGAGAAAACAAAACACAGAGACAGAGGGATATGGAACAAGAACAAGAAGAAGGAAGCCTAGAAAGCTTGCTGAAATGGACTGCGGAGATCGGAATATCAGACTCTCCGTCGTCGAACCGCCCTCTCTCCTCCTCCTCCTCCTCCTCCTGTCTCGGTCAATCTCTCTCCGTCTCACAATTCCCTGACTCTGGCGGGTATATCTAATAATTCCCAATCTTCTATCTCAAATTCTCAATCATATCTATATCTGTATCTATGTGTATATATTTTTATATGTGATTGGATGTGTATGGTGCAGGAGAGGCTTAGCAGCTGTCCGTGATCTTAGAAAAGGCGAATTGATCCTCAGAGTTTCAAAATCAGCCCTAATCACCACTCAAATTCTATTCAAGGACCAGCCGCCACTCTCTCTTTCCATCAATAAACACCCTTCTCTATCCTCCACTCAGGTTTCACACTCTCACTAATCTTTTCTTTATTCGCCGTTTGGTTTCCTGGAAAATATTACAAGTGATTGACTGAGCCTGCTTAGGTGTTACATATCATGTTTCACGTATTCGGTTGTATCATTTGAAAAATCAAATTCTAATTCTAATTACAGAGTAAATGACAAATATAGCAAAGAATAAGAAAGGAAATGAATACTTTGAAGGTGATTAATCTTCTAATTAGATTAGTAGTTCCTAATAATAAACAGAGGATCGAAAGGTCTGAGTCTTTGTTCAGCAGCAAATTATAGGATAAAGCATTTAAATTCTAGTTTCTGTAAAGAAAAATGAAGGTTGCATTTGGTATAGCTTTAGAATTATGATTTGAGAATAGAGTTGTATTTTGAGTTTGTGAGTTTTGGAATTATGATTTGAAAAGAGAAAATTTGTTTGGTTATGAGTTTTGAAAAGATTTTTGAATTGAGTTTTTGAATTTTTGGTGTGACATGTGCAATAAGAAAAAAAAAGTTTCATGAGTTTTGAAAAGAATTTTCAAAACTTAATTAAAAAATTTATAACTCATAACCAAACATACAATTCAAAACCCTATTCAAAATTCATAACCAAACTATTTTTAAAATTCAATTCAAAAAGATCATTTATCATTTTGGTGTAAAAAAAATATTTTGTATGTTTAAAAAACATCAAAAACAATTTTTTTGTTTTTTTTCGCTTCCAAATAGCAGGTGGCGATTGACAATTGCAAAAAAAAAAAAAATTTACACTGTTCCGGTCAACCAGCCGGACGTCTAGGGAACGTCAGGTGAATGACCGGATAGACCCAAAATTCAAAAACTCCTCTGCAGAAGACGAAATGTGAAAGAGAAATATGTTTTGAAAATTCCATCCAAACATGAAAGGGAATTGTTTTGAAATGTGTGGTGAAATCACATTTTCAAAACTCCATCCAAACAGTGCATGCAATCGGAGGGGTGGAATCATGATTTCAAAGCCACACCAAACACAGCTTTTTCAAATAGGGATTTTATTGGGGTAGTGATATGATAGTTCATTTACAATGTTCATTTGGTTGTCTCTGTCGGATTTTTTAATACTTACCCTTGTCTAAATTTCTTCTTTTTCTTCTTTGTTTTCTAAATGTAAATATTGACTGTTTGTATCCCTACCTGATGCAGTTACCCTGCAGTTACGATACACTACCATGTTTTGGTCAATTTGAGACACAAGCTTTCCAAGTTTGTTTTCCAGGATTTGAAATTTGTTCTTTCCTTGAATATAGTAATTGAGCTTTTGTTAATATCAAATGTTATTTATTCAAGATGCTACTTGCTTTTTAAAATGAAAAAGAAGAAAATGGTTCCCTGAAGTATCTGACATGATTTTCAGGTGAATGATGCTATCTGAGCTGCAGAAAAGGCTAAACTGAAGGCTGAATTCGATTGGAAAGAAGCTATTTCCCTTATGAAAGAACTTAACTTAAAGCGTCGTCTCCTATCTTTTACTGCATGGCTTTGGGCTTCTACAAGTGTTAGTACATTTGGTGCTTTGTGTAATAAATATTGCCCAGCAAAATATGTTGTCCATTGGTGTGTTGATGCAGTTTTCTGAGTCAGTCAGCCATATGGAGCTAAAACTTATCTAGTCTTGATCAAGGGTTTCACGCCAGTAAGGAAAAAAGTTGATGCATTAAAGGATTAAAGGAATGCTCAAAATAATACGTCATTTTTGTATTGATTGATTCATTGTTTTATTACTTGTTAGAAGTGATGGTGTCTTTGGCCTAATATGATTGTTATTGTCAATTCTTTCTATCTAATTTTCAAATTTTTAGAATTTGATAATTTCGACATATGCTTGAAGATATCCTCCCGTACGTTGCATGTACCATGGGATAATGCTGAGTGTTTATGCCCTGTGGGGGACTTGTTGAATTATGCGGCACCTGGGGAGGAGGACTTCGGTTCTGAAGACCCCTTGTCTCTGAAGACTCAAGCAGTAGGAGAAATGCCTCTTCTTTGCAAGTAAATTTTTCATGGAATGGAGACACCACAGAACAATTTGATGTAGCACAGATTGATCCAAATTTACTGAGATTAACGGATGGTGGCTATGAGGATGATGTCTCTGCATATTGCTTCTATGCTAGAAGAAACTATAAGAAAGGAGAGCAGGTATTGCTAATCATTCTTGATACCTTTAAGAACATAATGCATTATATTAGGTAGTATGGCAGCTATATGTGGTTTTTCAATAATTCATTCCATTAGCGTTTATTTGTGGTCTTGTGGCCCTGGTTTTGAGATATCATATAGTGTATAGATGTGCCATATTTGAAAATCTAAGCTTGTGAAGTAACCGGTCAAATGTCAATCAGGACTTCCAAATAGTGTTTCCGACATGTTGAACATTTATAGGAGTGACATCTGACATAGATTTGTGAGATGTCTCAAAATGAAATTTGAATGTATTAGCTCTGCAATTGCTGAAGCATTAACAAATGATTGTCTTACTGTTAATGATATTATTGTGCCATACACTCTGTAGGAGTAACCAAAAATGCGATTAACTGCGAGCTGCTTGTGGTGGAGTGTAGTCTGAATGAAGGTGTGACTGCAAGTTTTGTGGCAAAAGGAGCTGAATTTGAACAGATGAAGTTTTTACTCAGGCTAGTCGTTAGATTTGAAAAAGGGGTATAGGTTAGATACTTATATATTGTTGTGATACTAATCAAACACAAAAACTTAGATAGATTGATTTGATAAAGAATGTGTACAATGAGTGATTGAACAATTTAATGGAAAAAGAATATATAAATCCCAATAGGCTTGCATTAAGGGGCCAGCTTTGCTTTTTACCTTTAGCTTTCTCATAAAAGAACTTACAAGGAATTTTTGGGTAGAGGTCCCATGATGTATGCCATTTTCTTATGAGATTATTTTAGTTGATGAACTAGGGTAGAAGCTTCATTTTCTTTGAAGATATTGGAGAGATATTTATGAATTTAAAGGTTTAAAAAAAAAAAAAAAAAAGAAAAGAAAAGAAAGAAAAAGAAGCAGAAGTGATTGTGTTTTGAGCAAAACTGAATGATAGCGTATGTGTGGGAGAAATTAATTCTTCTTTTTCTCGACTGATTATCCTTTAGGAAAGTTAAGTGAGGTGAATCTAGCTTGTGATCAGATTAGTCAACACTGTTCTCATCATTTTAGTGATGATGGAGTTGTATCAGTGTGTTCACCCTGTCATAGATGTCTCATGATTAATGTCACCATCCGATGTAGCACAAGGAAACTTATAATAATGCCATCTATAGTTGATTTTGTGGTGGGCTAAAGTTATTGAACATCTATACATTTGGGATTTGGAAGGGTGGAATAAAAATTTTAGGGTTTGTAGATAGAAAGGGCTCAGGACAGGCTTTGTTTTAAAGGAGAAGAGTTACTGAATTTTCAGTAAATAGCTTGCTGAAAATTCTAGACGGGCATGTATTCTTAAGGTTTAAGGTGTTAATTAAAGGCCAAAAGAGAGGAGAAAGAATTAGGGCTAAAAGATTGATAGTAGCAAGTTTTGGTGATAGAAGAGTGTTGTTCTAGACCTGTGAATAGTAATTTGAGAAAGTGAACTTGAGAGAAAAGAAGAATCCAAGAATCCCAGTCAAAAAATTTCAGGTATCGCCTTTGATGGTAATGTTGCATTAAACATCACACAATGCTTTTAAAAGCTTCTCACAAGTTAACAAAGTTCCACTCTATTACATAAGAAGATGAGTACATGAATATTATAGGTGATTGTGCTTCTCCTAATTCTGCTAGGATAACACTTCAAACTAAAAACAAAAAAAAAAAAGGAACTTTGAACAATTAGAATATCCATGACCTAAAATAGGCCACATTTGAGACTCAAAAGCAAAAACTTGACCCATTGTACAACCTGTGGACCACAACCACAGCCCATGTCTAGCAAATTTGGAAATTACCAAAATTCCATATACTCCTGAAACATTGAAAAACAAACTAAGCAGCAAGCTAACAGCAAACAGAAAGTCAGACTTCAATTTCGACCAATCCTTGATTAGACGATGTCTTGAGACTACGTAGATTTCAGGTTTTTCATTTGTCTTGTTAGCATGCTCCACATATCCATCCATTAGTGATTCATGATATTGGATGTAACTTATAATGACTTAACCTCAATTGTCCTCTACACTAGGTTTCCATATCAGGAGACCATCGAAGCTTCTTATTTCTCAATATCTTATGGTTTTATAATGTCATGAAGTTGATTATTTTCATATATGCTTAATGTCTTGTTCCTGTCAAGTATATTTCACCTGTGAAGGTGAACTTTGGTAGAACTACAACATGACTGTTTTGAACATATCATACATCATAATTGACTTTCATGTTTACATCATCCTAAAGGTTCAATGTTTAGGCAAAACAGTTTGTTATATGTGTAGATATTGAGAAAATGTGACAGAGAGCTTTTTGGGATAGCATTAAGCAACAATCTATAACTTATCCTAGATAAACAAAAGCTTTCACCTAAAATCCCTAACAAATTGGAAATTTATGTAATTAAGATAAATGCAGAGCAAGTAGTGATTGACATTCAGCCCTAGTGGCTAAAACAAACGAAAGGTAAACCCTAGGAAGCAGCTGTTGCAAACGAAATAAAAGAATTCCTGAGAAAGTGCCATAAATCTGGAGATGATAATAAGACAGGCCTTGAAATATTTTTGGTCCTACTCTAAGGCTATGTTTGTTTGAACTGATTGGATTAGATGAGATTAGTATCCTTAGGGCTGTTAGTTCGGGGATTATCAATTCTTTTGAATAGTAAATCCTATTTCATATTTGGATTGGCTTGGGATTAGGAGGGAGAGGGGATTGGAATGGATATAATATTAAATACATGGTGTAGTAGCCATAGTAACCCTGTTATAATTTATGTGAAATTTTTTTGCCCCATCATTTATTATTTTTAAAGACATGCCTATGTACAATTTTGACATTTGACAACAACACCTAACAAACTTAGCAAATGTGATCAATTCAATCTCTTCTCAATCAGCTTTCCTACTTTCTTGTTTTATTAAAAAAGTAAAATATCAATTTTCCAATTTTATTTTAAAAAATGAGGTTTTTTTTTCTCAGTTTTTCTGTTTTTTTAAAAACAAATGTGTTCCTTGAAAAACAGTGAAACAATTTCTTTTTAAATAAAAGACAGTGCCTTACATTGAAAAAAATATTTGTAAAGAAAAACAAACAAACAAAACAGTTTATGTAATATATATATATATATGTTATGACATAATTAAATATATATTTTTAAATTTTAATTAGTCACGTGATCTGTTGTTTGAGATTTACACAATGAACATACAATAATCACTTTTATAGTAGCATAGCAACAGAAAGTATCTTTCATTGGCAATCTATCAAACAATTAAAATCATGTATTACATGAAGGAGAAGCAACCAAATAGCCAGGGTTATTTTTATAATTTCAACACTAGTTAATCTGGACTTCCTTTTGATCCTTCAATTGTGTATCCCACCCCTTCCTTTGGATTCAATAGTTCTCCATATGCGGGATACCATGTGGGTGTTTGGAAAGTTGCTATTTTAGTAGGCTATTTTAGTTTTTTGCTATTTTAGTAGGCTAAAATTTTTGTATTTGGAAAAATAGTTGGATTTTTTTGTAGTTGGATGTGATGTTTGTGAAAGAAAGGTGAAATGATTATGGGTTTGATGTGACATTTTATCTTATTGGCTATTTTAATCTATTTTGTCATTTTGTAAATTTTAGCCCAAAAAGCCAAAAAAAGCCTTTGCCAAACACCCGGATGGACTACTAATCCAGACCTCAATTTTTTAGCCAAATGTGAGATTATGTATTTTGTTGGATTATTAGTCTCATCCCAAGGTCATGTCCACCCAAACAAACACACCTTAGTAATTTATTAGGCCTTATAGGATATGAAAGGATAAAATAAGAACCACATGCTAGTTTTTGGCTGCTACTTTGCTCAACCTTATAATAGGTCTGTACTTCGAGTTCCAAGTGGCTTAATTTCATGTCTTGTTTTTTAGGGTTGAAGTTGTATTCATCGAGACATTTGCACACCATTTTGCCTTCTTTTTTTTTTTTCCTTCCCTGAAAATATTTCTGGTTTGGCGGATAAGGCATACTGGCTTCTTGTTTGCAGGTCCGTCTAAGCTATGGGACATAAACAAATTTGGAGCTTCTTGAACACTACAGGTTTTTTCTAGATAAAAACCCAAATGATGAGGCTTTTATTCCCTTAGAACCTGAAATTTATTCGTCGTGTTCATGGCCCAAGGACTCACTATACATTCACCCAAACGGGAAGCCATCCTTCGCCCTACTCTCTGCTCTGCAGTTATGGTTAACCCCTCCAAGCCAGAGGCGATCTGTTGGACACCTTGTTTATTCAGGATCTCAACTATCAGCGAAGAATGAGATAATTGTCATGGGATGGATAGTGAAGAACTGCAAAGTAATTTTGAAGAAATTTGTGACATCAATTGAGGAAGACAAGTTACTTCTCTGCACCATTGACAAAATGCAAGATTTTTGTACTCCTGCAGAGCTTGAGAGACTCCTATCAACATTTGAAGGCGAGGCTCGCGTTTTTGCAGAAACCAAGGGTCTCATCAATGGAGAGACTAGTGTAAATTTACTTCAATCGAGGCAGATGCAGAGATACATGGATAGATGGAAATTGGCAGTTCAGTGGAGACTTATGTACAAGAAAACCCTAGCTGATTGCATTGCTTATTGTTCTAAGGTAATTGATGGGCATGGTGGTTGGCAATGTCGGATTTGGCAAAGATGATGGAATTTGGGTGCTTGGCAAAGGTGGCAATGTGGGTTTTGGCAAGGTTGGGGCTGCTGGCATCGTCGGCAATGGTGGCAATGTGGCTTGGGGGATGGTCGGCATTGTAGGCAATGGAGGAAGTGTGACTTTCGGCGGAGACGGGATTGAAGGCACTGTTGTCTGCAGTAGTTGGCGAGCAGCCTGAGCCACCACGGTTGTCCGGATGCTTGAAAGTGATAATGCATGATCTGAGATACAACCAAACAACTATAAAAAGCAGCCATTATTGTTTGATAGGAGTAGAAAGTTTTGAAGGAGATAGGCTCTGTACTAAACAAGTTTGTTGTGTGTTGAAGAGAAGAACTTGCATTAGTAGCGTATTTTATAGAGAACAAATGTTGAAAGGCACAACTGATTTGGAAAGACAAATATGAGTTTGATGAGATGTGGTTGGACTTTGGAGGAATAAAGTTGAAAAACATTAGTGGTTAGTTCAACTTCCCATACTTTGAGAGACGGTAAATTCAGATGTTATAAGTAAACCAAAATGAAGTCTCATTTGGAAAAGCCTTTTATCTGTTGTCTCCCTTTGGTATCCGTAACGGTCATGAGACAAGACAGGTTCAGGGTATGGGGTGTTGCAGTTCTAATCACTCAAGTTGAGCCATTGTCACTCTGAAATTCTACTTCACCATGCTATCTTCATCTCTGCTTATTTTTTGGGTGAATCATCTCTGCTTATTTCATGAAGCCGAAGGGTGGAATTTTTTCCACAAAAGTTTAAATTAGCATCTCGAGGGTTAGGAGCTAATTCTCTTTTGGATACTCTCTAGTTGAGCTCTGGCTTCCTCCACTCTCTTGAAAATGTCACTGTTGCTTCTCTGGTTCAGCATCTTTAGTTCAACCTTCAAAATTTTCAACTTCTGATCCAATCCATGAAAAATACCTTTAACTTGTTTAATCCGAACACCAGAAATAATATTCAAGAAATCAACAATAAAAAAAATGTAGAAGGCCTTTTTGGTCTTAAAGGACCAGGCATTGCTTGGATCAAAATAGAGCTATGGTTAGAAATGTTAGCAGGAAGAAACTCTGCCTTCGACAAAGGCAAACCTCATAGTCCAAGCCTCATTCACAAGGGCTATGTCAATTTTCCTCAAATCTTTGCCATTGGTCCAGTAAATTGCATCTTCCTTGTGCTAAGATCGTCATTCTCAACGTTAGTAAACCAGTTATTGCAGTGGTCTGTATGAGAGGGCCATTTGACAGAGCCCATATCCACTCATGCATAAATCTAATGGTATAACATGTCACCTAAATAGCGAAGGGGATTGTTGGAACACAACAGTAGAAAGCTCAATGTCCCTCCAATGTCCCAACCTATTTTTAGGAGCATTATTTCAAGAGATAGCTGAGACAAAACAATCCAGTTTCTCTCCCTTTGTCTCTAACATTACAATGGAAGCGCTTCACTTCCAGAACATCAAGATCCCATAGGACCCCCCAATTTCTACCCCAGGTTAGACCAATTATAGTTAGAGATCATAGCACAGCTTTTACTGAGAGTTAAAAACCCGATCCTTATTAACACTTTTAACGTTGTGTTTGGTTGGAGAATTTAGAAAAGAAAAAGGAAAATGTATGTGAAATTAGATAAAATATAGGCATATTTTATTCACATTTTACATTTTACATTTTTTTTCCCTTTCTCTTTTTTTTATTTCCCTTTCCAAATCATTTTCTAAATTCCTTAACCAAATATAGCGTAAGTCTCCAAAATGCCAAAAAAGGACACATTATATCTCCTAATATGCTTTTCGACTTCCTTCTACGAAATATGTCAATTTAAGCCCCTCACATTCCAGAATTCAAAAGGCCTTATTATTAGAACAATAGAAGATATAAATCATTTCCTAAGTTTCCCCCAAGGCTTCCTTTGAGGGCCGAGCCCTTCCTATTCTCTCTTTTTTTATTTCCCATCACCACCTGGATTTGAACTTCCTTCACTCCTTCCTTTATCTCGTAATGGGTTTTGGTTAGGGGTGTCCTCAGGGTCAACATCCATGTCTAAATTTTCAAAAAAATTTTGAGGTTTTAGATGAGGAAGTGTGTGATTTACTGAAAATGAACCAACTTATAGAGAACATAGGTTGATCATGTTCGTGACAATCGTCACTTTGCTCCTTAACTATATTTTTTTTTTTATCGACAAAAAGAAAGATTTTATTGACAATAATCAAATAAAAGGATTACACGTCAATAAAGAGCCATAGGGAAAAAATTGCATCATCGTTGAAATATGAGCATCCCAATGAGGTTGGCACCTTCAAGACAACTCAATCATATGCAAACCCCACGAAACCACTACAAGAGCTTAGTTAAACACTAATGCTATGTTTGGTTTGGGGATTTGGGAAGGGATTTGGAAAGGGAAATGGAAAAGGTAGGTGAAATGTGAATAAAATATGTATATATTTCACATAGTTTCACACACCTTTTCCCTTTCCCTTTCCAAATCCCTCCCCAAATCCTCCAACCAAACACACCATAAGAAAAATAGTTTCTTCTTGATTTCAGAACTTGCTATCTATAATTCCAGAACTTGCTATCTATGACATGTTGATCATATACACATAGGGCATGTTTGATTGACATGATTAGAGTATGAGATTAGAATTATTAATATGTGAGCCCAATAATCTTATGTTTGTTTTGAAATTTTGTTTCAAAATTATTAATCTAATGAATAATTAATCTAATAAATTTGTAAGATTATTAGTAATGGGATAGGGGTGAGATTATATATCTTGAGTTGGGAAATAAAATAAAGACTCTTTTACCCTTGACCAAAAATTAAAACACTTATTATTTTTATATAATTTTATATTTTAGAAGGCTAAAAACAATTTTTAAAAATATTTTTGATATTTATTTTATCAAATTAGTTTATATTCTAAAAAATATTAAAAAACAAACCAAATATGGCCTTTGTATTTTTGTATTTTTATTTATTTATTTATAATTTTTTTCAAAATCACATTAAGAAGAAATTTTGATAAATTAAAGATTGTGAAGAAATATTGATGAAAAGTAAGATTGGAAGAGAAGATAAATATAGTTGTAATCCTACAATCATATATTTTCTTATCTAATGTAAATGAAACAATAGACAATAAAATAATTTATCATACTAATCTAATTAAATAGTAAATACCACATTAATTTGATGGGATTAAACATAATCACCGGATATAATCCAAAACGGGCACAATGTCATGAGATGGTACTTCTGGCACATACGCATTGCAAGACAAATAATTTCTTTCAAATAGAAACCGATTAAAATGACTATAGTTTGTCTCTGCAACACTAGGCATAAAAAATATCTAAATGTCTCGCTTGTCTATTCTGGGAAGAATGCAGACTAGTATACTGAAAAAAATCTCATTTATAGGAGTTGTTTCAACTTGTTCACCGCACTAATTTAAACTTTTAAGTAAAGGGGAGATGAGTTGTTTCGTTTTGTCAACAAAACAGCATTCAAGAATTCCCCTACATATGCAATTTCTCAAAGCAATTTCTTAAACCAAAACATACCTAACCAATCAAAGCAAATGCATCGAAAATGATCGAAAACAAGAACACCTCTTCTCCTCTAATTCCCAAACCAAAACATACATACATAACTAATCAAAGCAAATGCATTGAAAATGATGGAAAACAAGCACACCTCTACTCTAACCCCAAAACCTACAACATCAGCACAAACATTGATTCCTATATGTATATGGTCCAGCTTGTCTCATGTTTGAGATCAAGACTAGACCGTCCAGTCTGGTTCATAGACTCATTTTTTGACTTCATTTCGATAATTTGAACCGTTCAATGTGTAGAAATTGTCGAGTATTATATCCCTCTAAAAAATCACATTAATCGGATATTTATAATTATTTGATCAGATCAGATTTTTATCAATCGTTTATTTTTTCACCATCTATTTTTTTTATATAAATCTTATTCGATCAAATAGTTATCGATATCCGATCAATATAATTTTTTACACGGATTTAGTACTATACACGTTAAACGATTCGAATTATAAAAACAGAATTCAACAATGAATTCATAAGCCGGACTCGGCAGTCCAATCTTGATCTCAAGCATGAGAGAAGGTAGACCCTGTATATATACCTCAAAAACTACAAAGAAAAACCCTCAGGATCGCCCTTGGCTCGCTCCTTAAACTTGTTGAACCATCTATCCAATATATCCATGGGCACAAGAAGCTTGCTACCATCAACCACGCAAAAAGATGAAATTGAACGAATTCTCCCCAAGCTTCATAGCCAGATGCTCAATCCGCTTCTCCGCCGCCACATCGAGGGAGGGAAGGGTGGCCAGGTCTTCCACGGAGACGCCGATCTTGGCGGGGAGCGGGGCGGCGTAGGGGGCCGTGAGCTGCATCTGACCACCAGGCTCCGGCCACGGCAACGGGAGCACCGCCGATGGCCGGACCACCGTGACGGCGCCGCAGTAGAGGAAGGGAGAGCCTGGGGATTGGATGTAAACTGCTAGGGCTTTGTCTGGTGGAAGAGAGAGGCCGTTTAGAAGGAATATGCACACTTCTCTGATCGAATCGTATGCCTCTCCTGCGCACAGTAAGATTGATTGATTGAGACTAGGTTAAGTTGTGCAATTTGAAGTTTAGAGAGAAAGAGAGAGAGTAGAGAGAGAGGGGTTACCGACGAAGGTGTTCATGTCGAGAAGCCAGTGAGTGGTGTCGATTTGGGCGAAGCTTGAGATGTCCATTGGGAAGCTCCGATTTGGGAACACCACTCCGAACATTCTGTGTTTTTTTCTTCGTTCCATAGAGAAAATGTATGAGAGAGAGAGAGAGAGAGAGGGAGAGAGAGATTGTTGAAGATATTGCAGAGAAACAGTTTGAAAAGTTGAGGTATTTATAACATTTGTTGGTCGGTACTTCGGAACGTTCGGTTTATCCGTGACATTGACATTTTCAGAATTTGAAGAATAATGCAATGATCTTATCAATGTAATCTAAGGTTAAAAATGAGTTGCATATCAATTTTTATAATCTAACGGATAAAAATGATATGGTAGCAACCTTACACGCTTAAACAGTTCCTTTTTTTTTTTTTTTAAGGCACTACGGTTACCTTGAAAAAAATATTTAAAATTAAATTGAACGGTTATATAGGATGTCTTAAATAAGTGTATTTTTTTATCTTTTTGAATTAAAAAGTTGAGGAAAAATAAATAGATGTTTGGGTTAATTTTTTTGTCTTTTTATGAAAAAATGTATAATAAAAAATTATATAAATAAAGTGTATAGTGAAAAAATAGTGATTGATTGCACGGTTGCCCGAGCATGTCTACATAGAAAAATAATCAACTCCTTCGGAAAAATAACTTTTGGATAGTGATGATCGGTTCGTGGGGGCCACCATGGATCTCATTTTAACAATCTGAACCGTTTAATATGTACAACTTGTTAATTATTATATGTCTGTAAAAAATCACGTTGATCGGATATCGATAACTATATGATCGGATTAGTTTTTTTTTCTAACAGTTAACTATCACACCATCCATTTTGTTTATACAAAACTGATTTGATCATATAGTTAATAATATCTGATCAACGTGATTTTTTATAAATATATATTACTCGACAAGTTCTACACATTGACAGTTCAGATTATTAAAATGGAACCCGTAATGAGCCCCCACAAACTGTGCAATTGTTCTTAACAAATGCTGCACAGTGCCAGCATTGTCATGATTGCTGAGTTATATAGATGTGTGAAAAATTAATTTTTTAATATTTTTTTTATGAACAATAATAATTTTTTAATTTTTTAAATAATTTTTTAACTTTTTAAAAAGCTACTAAAGTTGGCCTACATCAGTTGGCCTACATCGAGAGAATGGACTTTTTGAGGACTTTGATTAAGACTCCTACTGTTCCCTTTTTTTTTTTTCAAGGCACTACA